GCTTGCCAGCTACGCCTCGGCCGGCGCAGGGGGCGGAACCACGCATGCGCGGCGCTCCCGGGCAGGGAAAGTCCTCGACTTACGACCGGTTGGGTAGTCCTTGACTTACGACCGGTTTAGTCCTCGACTTACGACCGGTTTAGTCCTCGACTTACGACCGGTTGGGGGTCGCGGCATTAAAAAGGTTGAGAACCACTGCCCTACAGCTTACGGCTAAGAACCGTAAGAGTTCTGTTAAGAAAACGTGGACTTAGGAATGGATCCGTGCTTTGATGTGGTTGGGTTTAGAATCCACCAAAGCTGATCTTCAATGAGGGAGAGGATTCACCTCTAGATGTGGTCAAGAGTCAGTGGTTGTCCAGAAAGCAAAGTCTTCCTAGGATTATAACCAGGCGGCCAGTTTGGTCTAATGGTTAAGATACCAGGGTCAAAAACCAGGCACTGTGAGTTCTAGTCCCACCTTAGGAATGAAAATTGACTTTGTGACTTTGGACCAATCACCAGGAGACTGTGAATTCTAGCCTTGCCTTAGGCATGAAAGCTCTCTTTCATCTCAACTCATTTACAGGGTTTTTCTTATGGGGAAAATAGGGGGAGGAAAGAGTATTAGACATGTTCACTGTCTTGAGTTACTTATAAAAATAATAAAGGCAGGATATAAATAATAAATGATCTTCATATATTATAGCTCGGTATAAACTAGTCTTTTCTTTCTCTCTAGCTAAAATGTGAGTAGACTTGGTTGCATATCTGATATGTAGGCTCACTTAATTTTTACATTAGTGGACTGAATAGGTAGAACTAGGGACGATGTATTCATGGGACATGCTTACCAAGTCAAGTCAAGCTGTTTGGTTTGGTTTGGTTGGCTGGATGACCCCATTCCATTCGATTACTATAAGGTTGAATGTATCATGCAAAAAATGGATTATTAACGACCACATTAAGCTTATTGCATGAACATTCCAAATAATTGGTCAGCAAAGCAATCATTTGAGGCTCTGCTCCAGAAAAAAACACATTCTGTGGGGATGAAATATGATTTGACCCCCCTACCTAACTTTCCTTAGGGAAAAGGGGGGCAAAGAAGAGCAGTAAGGGGTGTAAAAGTGTGTAATTAGTTGAGTATGACATACATCCCAAGAGGCATGTGGACATATATGAAACACACAATCTCTGATCCAAGAAGCTATTTAGTAAAGAAGATATTTTGAGTGGAGTTTCCATGTAAGCCACCTTTGAACCCTTGAAGAAAAGGCAGAATCTAAATCTAATAAATAATGCTTTGCAATGTTATTGCAAAGGGGGGGGGGCTTTAAAGTAGCTATTCGCCTTTCTTTAAAACATACCTCTCCCTCTTTACAGATATTACCTACTGCTGGGATNCACCCACCCACACACACACACACACACATACATACATACATACATACACCCATCCATCCATTCACCCATCCATCCATTCACCCACCCACCCATCTATCCATCCATCAATCCATCCACTGTTCCACCCACCCACCCATCCATCCATCCATCCTCCCTCCCTCCCTCTTCTTTTTCTTCTTGGCGGTTTCTCCTAATTCACCCATAAGGTGGGTTAAGCTGAGAAATGTGACTAAATCCACTTGAGGATTGTGAGGGGTCTTGAATTTGAGTCTTTCCAGTCTCTTTAACTGCCGCAGAGTCTAGATTCAGTTATGGACATCTGATCTATTTGGGACGATCCCTTTTGATCTGTACATTAGGGACAACCAGGGGATGTTCTGATCTCCTTTTTTTTCCCTACCTCAGCTTGCCTTTAAAGCGGAGTTGCCCTTCCTTCCCCGATGAATTTGATCCCATAGCTGCAAAACAAGCAAAAGAAGAAGACCCCCAACGAGGTAAGGGGGCAGATGTCTTCTGTATCTCCAGGGGGCCTCACGGCCCAAGAAAAAGCAAGGAATCAACAGATAAAGAAGGATGCATCCTTCTGTTTGTTAACTACAACACTAACATGTCAGAGTAGCAAATTGGCAAATCGACAGGTGACTAACCATGACTCTCTAGGGCCCTGTCCTTCATTGTCCCATCACAAGTTAAGGAGAGCGATTGATGGTTCCTTTTCCACTGGAAGGTGGAACTCTGGAGAAAGAAATGAAGCTCGGGGAATCCATCCATCACTATCCTTAATTTGTCCTGTATTAAGACAATAAGCACGACATCACTCACCTGTCCTTTTTCTGAAGCAGAACAAGGACAGGCACTGAGGGCCGTGAAGTTTATGCCAGTGTCTGTGCCCAGCGACACAACATGGAGTATGTGGGATGAGGTTGTAAGGAATGCAAAAAATCTCCTAAGGACAGGAATGTGGGGCCTCAAAGCAAAGACGTAATGAGTTTGGGAGATTCTCTACTGGAAGGAGAGAAAAGGGGGCTTCCTTTTTCTGTAACTGGATTTGATCATCATCTCTTCTGTCATTCAGTTCTACTCTATGTCCGACGGGAATCAGAGGAGGTTTTTGACGCTCTCATGCTGAAGACCCCCGATCTCAAAGGCTTGAGAAATGCGGTGAGTTTCCCTCCATCCTGTGACATGGAAGTTTGCTACCTTGGGATGAGGTGCCGAAGACATCTAGGCTGGAGAAGGGCAACCAGCAGACCTCCACAAAAGGAAGGACAACTTGAGTCAGACTGTCTCCCATCCCAGATGTTCATGCCTTCCTCGGCTTCTTTATCCTATTTTAATTACAATTTTCCTACAATTTTGCTTAAATAATGGGAGGAAACAGCTGCTGGATGTATTAAGAGAGGGCTCCAATTAATCAATGTTGTGCAATGGTTCTGGTGCTGATAAAATAGAAAACCCATTTGAGGATGCTACATTTTAAGGCCTTCTCTTAAGAAATGTTTGGTTGGAATTATATCTAGCCCATTGGCAGCCTGACCTGGGCAATGAAGTCCATTTTGCATTAAACTAGAGTTTGCTAACTGATGGTTTATGGAAAAAGCCACAATCGGTTTGTTGGTTGTGTTTCCACAAGATCATGAATGGTGACTTTTATTCCTCAATGACTGTATTCATACATTGCACTCTTTAAACTAACCAGAGCACATGAAGAAGAAGCATAATGTCTGAACTTCATGAATATACACCATAGGAACTACCAGAGTTTAAACACCAAATGGTTCCTACTTTTAAGCTTCTATGAAGATTTGTGTTTCACCAACAAAGACCCCATGTCTGCTTTGGTTCCTAGACCCGTTTCTGGAGACCGTTTTCCTGGTCATTCTGTACTTTCTTTCTCTCTAGATTTTCTTTCTTTTAGCTTGGCCTGGCTGGAGGTTCTCCCCCTCTCTCTACCACCATGCACATTTGCTCAATGTTTAAAGAGCACACAATGCTTGAGCATATTTCTGTGATGTTTATCAGCACCATTTCTGATAACCCTCGGCTTGGCTCGGCTGAGGCGGGAATAAAGCAAACAGTCTCCTGAAATGATCTGATAGCCATATTTATGGCTTTGCTTTATGTGTGTGTGTCTCTCTCTGTGTGTGTGTCCCCTGCTTTTGCACACTTTCAGTTTGGAAAAGAACAAAGAACACCTTGGAACAAATTTCTTTTCCTGAAATTGCTTCCTTGTGAGCTGTAGTTTTCCACATTAGAACGGTTTCTCTGCTTGAAGAAATGAGGCTGTTAATAATAATAATAATGATAAAGTTGGAAGGGATCTTGGAGGTCATCTAGTCCAACCCCCTGCTCAGGCAGGAAACCCTGTACCATTTCGGACAAATGGCTGTCTAGTCTCTACTTAAAAACTTCCAGTGTTGGAGCATTCACCGCTTCTGGAGGCAGGTTGTTCCACTGGTTAATTGTTCTAACTGTCAGGGAGTTTCACCTTAGTTCTAGGTTTTCCCTAAAAAGGGATGGCTGAGAAGCAAGAAACATGAATCTGGTCCAACCCGCATACTGTTCTCCTGTAAGGGAAGGGAATTGGCAGACCAGGTTTAAAATTGGCCCAAATGATTCATATATTTTAGGCTGGTTCTCAGACACTATTTGTTTGCTTTTGGCTTAGCACAATTTGTGAATTTTGACTTTGTGGCTTACTCGACAAATAATGACTAAAGCTATCTGAGCATGACCTGTGAAGCATCTTTGTGTTTTGAAAGAACTTCACGCCAAATGTTAGCAAGGTCTTCCCAAAGGTACAAAATCTATTATTTTTAGAGGCATAGGAGGTCAAGAGTAAGCAAAAAAAGTCAAGACCATGGCCCCTTTGAGGCCACCCTCTTGATTTTTTTTTTATCCTCCCCCAACTCCAGGGGTATCCATGCAAGGGAAGATTTAAACCAGAGTTTCAGAAGGGAGATATAAAAGTTATAAACAGAGTTTAGCCTAAGCCAAGAGAAATTATAACTAGAATAGGATTTGAACAGGTTTTCCTGGATCACATTCTTTTTACCACCTGAGTAAGTTAGTTCTCAGGTCTCAATTTTTAGATTTTGACAAGGGCATCTCTTCCGAATGAGGCAATTGCAACTGGTTTATGATCAGAACCGAGTGGAATGAATTGGGAAGTATTACATGTGCTGCAGTTGCCAACACTGAGTTTTCATAAGCCCAGGAATCCCGTTGATCGGAATGCGCATAGACTATTCTGTTTTTCATCTTCTAGATTTCAGAAAAATATGGCCTGCCAGAAGAAAGCATCTATAAAGTCTACAAAAAGTGCAAACGAGGGTAAGTGATAGTTCATTCACCTTGCATCTTGTATGAGCTTCCCGGTTCTTGGACACAGCAATCTGTCTAGCAAATAGGCAGGAAAATGTCTACATGAGAAGAAATAGGGTTTGGAAGCAAATAGACCGGCTGGCCAGCTTTCAGAGGTCCAGGGAAGGAACGGTATCAAATTAATTTGGAAGAAATTCTGCATGTCTTCATTAAGAGCAATCAGAATCTTGCAGGATCCAGCCAAAGGCTTATCTGGTTCAGCATCTCATGAAAGCAACTACCCCTTCCTCCTTGCTGTAGCCCAACAGGTCTTCTTTAAGAGATGCCCTCCAGCTCAGGAGATTTAATGATATTCTCAACTTTGGATCTGGAAACCTAAAAATGGATGCCTCCGTATGAGCATCAAGTATGAGATGGGGACTCTTATAAGTAGCCATGTTCTTTGGCTAAAGTGATGGAAGCTGCTTGCTAGTGGGCGTCAGTGCTCTTTCCCTGTGTCATTACCTTGGTGGAAGCTGAAAAGATCTATAGAGGTGTTTCTCAACCCCAGGAATTTTAAGATGGGTGGACTTCAACTCCCAGAATTCCTCCAACCAGCATTGGGTTTGTTGGAATGCAAGATCATCATGTGGCGGTTTGGTTGTAATTGAGGGCAATGTGTGAATGTAGCCAATGGTGGCTTATTGAGTGAAGCATAATTAAGTCATGCCACATGTAAGACAAGGCTTAGGTTACAGCACTAAATGAAGACATCCGTAGTGATATCCGCACCAAACATGGAAATTCTCTGATCAGCTTTGAGCCTACCACCCTCTCTCACTTTAGCTCAGTATTCCTCAAGCTTGGGAATTTTAACATTTGTGGTCTTCAGCTCCCAGAATTCCCCAGCCACTGCTGGGGACTTGAAATCCACACATCTTGAGATTTCCAAGGTTGAGAAGCATCACCCTTGCCTATTTAGAGGGATATTGTGAAGGTAACAGTAGGGAAAATAGTCTTTTACTTTCAGTTCCTGGATGAAAGAGCATATAAAACACACACACAGAGACACACACACACACACAGAGAGAGAGAGAGAGAGAGACAGACAGACAGACAGACAGAGAAAGAAAGAGGAGAGGGAGAGAGAAAGAGAGAGAGAGAGAAAAAAAGAGAGAGAGACAGAGAGAGACAGAGAGAGAGGAGAGGGAGAGAAAGACAGAGAGAAAGAGAGAGAGACAGAGAGAAAGAGAGACAGAGAAAGAAAGAAAGAAAGAAAGAAAGAAAAAAAGGGAGAGAGAGAGAGAGGAAGAGAGAGAGACAGACAGACAGACAGACAGAGAAAGAGAGACAGAGAGAGAGAAAGAAAGAGAGGGAGAGAGAGAAAGAAAGAGAGACAGAGAAAGACAGAGAGAGAGAGAGAGAAAGAAAGAAAATTACTTATTGTCATAAGTAAGATGGGAAATCGCTTTTGTTCCAGCTTAAATTACCTTAATCAATTTGACACCTTCCACAATAGGAGCTGAAGTTCAACCCACCTGGACATGACAGTTTGGGGGGACAGCTGGCCTTGGGTCTTGGAATCAAGGCCTTGGGAAAGGGCCAAGGGCTCTCGTTCCAGTTGGCTTCTATATACTGTGTTGTCTTTTATTTTTAAAATATGAAGTTGTCCGGTGGGGATAAAAAAAGGCCTGAGGAAAAGGTGTGTGTGTACCTAGTGCATGGAGTGGTCCGGGGAATTTAACAGATATGTTGTTATCTCCCCAGGCAATGGGCTAAGGTCACCATCTTTGGGTTTATCTTTCTCATCAGGGCACCGTTGTTTGTTTGTTTCTCAAAACCAGCAGGATTGGAGTAACCCTTAGGCTTAGAGTGGCAGATGATGCTGGAATAGAGCAGTTTTGGGAGGAAAGTCTGCACCAGATTCCACAAACGGGACTAATTTAGAGATTACAAATATAGCATTTACTGGTTAGAGATGCCAGCATTTCAGCAAGGGTAGCTACAGCCTGGCTATATAGCCAGAATAAACTTCAACATTACAGCAACTATCTCTCTAAACCAGAGATGTCCAACCCCGGCAACTTTAAGACTTGTGGACTTCAACTCCCAGAATTCCCCAGCCAGTTATACTGGCTGGGGAATTCTGGGAGCTGAAGTCCACAAACCTTAACGTTCCTAAGGTTGGACACCCTGCTCTGAACACAAGATTGATGCTATTCTGGTGAAGGTTGTTATGGAAAATGATGCAGATCTGGAACAAAAATCCAAGCTTTATTTGTACCGCAAATGGATGTGAGCTAGAAGTGATCATTTAGGAACAGGATCTTAAAATCCTTACAGAGGACTCCAGGAAAACGCTGACACCCCAAGGTACAATTACTATAATAAACAGAAATTTTCACACCTGGAACCTTTAGGAATGGAACATAAATCTGGTTTGGATTTGATAGAAGTTCAGGTCTGAAGTTTGGGAAGGGTACCAATAGTCCACTGTGGCCATACGCAGTATAAACAAATAAAACTTAGAAATACAGCCTCCTTGCTAGCTCATAGTTGAGCTAATTCATAGGACCTCGTTCAGAGTTGTGCCTAGCCATCTCTCACCCAATATTTTCCGTTTACGTAAGAACTGAGTAGCTGCTTAAAAGTCTTTCACATTCCACTTTGCAACTGAGTCTGAAGGATACAAAAGCAGGGTAGCAGGGGTGGGTGGTAGATCACAGCTAATCTTTGTTTCCCCCCTTTTCTCTCCTGCACCTTTCAGTCTGGTCAGACAAAGAACATATTTGGCAGGGGGTGGACCGCCCATCCTTCCACTAATCTTGTTGTGTCTGGATAACTGCAATCTGTAGCCCATCACAGAGACGGGAGGTTTTGTTCTTCCTTCTAGCAACCCATGGAATCCCAGACCCCCTTCTGTTTTTCGGCGTGATGCTGCTCCAGATGGCTTGGCCCTCGAATATCTGATTCCAAAATGGAATTTCAGCAAAAGAGTCAACACCTAAAAAGACCAGCCTGTTTAGGGCTTTTTCTCCCATGCCCCTATTATGGCTCAAGCATGTCCTGGTACTTGGTTAATTGGCCAACAAGTATCTCATCAGTGCTAGAAGGAGTGGAGTTGGAATACAGCTGGATTGTCAGTACTGACGTTTCCTTGGTAGTTTCTTGATTAGGCTATTGTTTACTGTTTGGTTGTTTGTGTTGACTTGGTAATTCCTTGACTGGTGTATTCTTTACTGTAATGAAACGCCTGCAAGAAAACAGCCAAGCTCAGAGAGCATCAAGCACCCACTGGCTGGAAAGTTATTGGAGGACTATCTTGTCCAAATACAGACATTCATTACATCCTTAATAAATGTCCATCTAGACCAGTGTTTCTCAACCTTGACAATTTTAAGGCATGTGGATTTCAACTCCCAGAATTCCACAGCCAGCATTGCTGGCTGTGGAATTCTGGGAGTTGAAATCCACATGCCTTAAAATTGTCAAGGTTGAGAAACACTGATCTAGACTGTTGTTTAACACCTCAGGCCAAGAACACCCACCATTTCTCAAGACATCCTCTGTTCCATCTTTCAACAGCCCTTATTGTAGGGCTGGATGTCTTACCGTTTCACTCCTTTTATTAGTTTTGAGGATTCATGTACAAGTGCTGTTCAGGTTCTGTGGGTACATCCCTCCGTGGTAGGACAGGTCAAAACACAGACAGTGCAAGGATTTCAGGACCGCCACTTGGTTTTTGGGGTTCTGTTAAGAGACTTTTGAAAGCAACTTTAAAAGCTTCACTGCCCCCTTTTTCGTGACAGCCAAGCCAAGTTAGAGCTATTCTGAGTCTCTTTCTCACACTTCCTACTTTCCCGGGGCTGAGCAACCACCTCAGGGCCAGAGATGATTTCCTCTACTATCACCACCCTGCCTAGTCGTTTCCAGCTTCAGTAGCCCCAGGATGCACAGTGATGACTGTGGGTAAAATGTGCGAGCCAACCACAGTTGTGTTGTGGCCATCCAAGGCTTCTTCCAGGTGTTATCAGTTATAAGGCCAGAGCTGGACTTGTGGTCATTTGCTGCCAGCAGTGACATACCCTTCATTTGTCTATGGAGATTCTCAATTATGCAAGTCTTGGTTGTCCCAAAAGTTCCAAAAAGGCAACTGGACTTTTTTGGGTGTTTTCCTTGAAAATGTTTTGCTTCTTGTCCAAGAAGAGAACTGATGAAGCACCTTTAGAAAAGCATCTTTAGGACATTCCTTTCATTGCTTCCTCCCATTTCAACCCGTTATACGTTTCTGGGTCTTTTAATGCCTCCAGGCTATTTCCAAACATAGGGCTTTTTTCAGGAGAGTGCTAGACCCCTGACAGGTGACAGGTGGCAGGAAACCTGGAGAGACCTCCTCCCCCCTTCACCCCATGTCCCCCTTAGTGCCATCCAGTGTGTATGTGTGCGTGTGTGTGACTAAGGGAAGGCTAAACCTCATGTTCTAAGCATCTGTCTAAATTCACCCCACCCTGCCTCACCCCACCTTAAAGATTGTGATTGATGTCCAGGAGGTGACATTCAGTGGGAGGGGAAGCAAAGCCAATCCTGTTCCTTAACTTGGTCCGCAATAAATAAGAAAGGAGAAGTTCCTTCGGCTGTTGTCAGTCTTGTTGCTGTGGCAGAATACAGCCTGACACTGAGCAGCCCAATTTATGCTGGCATAAAATTAACTGCCAGCCCGAGATCAGCTGGATGACGCTTCAGCGTGGCATCTGAAAGTGAGTTTCTGGTAGCCTTGCTGAGAGTCCCTGCAGAACCTTGTGCATAAAGCATTAGTTTAACAACTGGAGATTTCATGGTTTAATTAAACAAGACTCCACTGATAATCCCAGTAAAACAGGTGCTAACATGGCACAAAAACATGTGTAGCTAAAACTGAGCTGGAATGATCTTGCTCTAACTTGCAAGGCATTTCGTAGCTGGTACCTGGAAGTCGCTGAAGAGCCGGTGTCTGTGTGGGCCTTACATTTACTAACTTTCTTTTAAAAAAC